AAACCCCTCTTGGTTCCAGCTGACTCCCACTCCTCTAATCTTTTCCTTTCTCTCTTTGCTTGAGTTTGCTGTCTGGAGATGCTCCTCTCAGATCCAGCACAAGATCCCCTTGGCACTGCTCTGCAAACTGCAGTGGCCTCTTTGGGGCCGAAATGGGAACTTCATCCACCTGCTTTTGGCACTTACCAGCACTAGTGTCTTCCTTGTGTGTCCATCTTCACCACTTTGTCCAGCCCTGTCTGTGCTGTGATGATCCAGAGGACCAGTGGGTGCAGTGCTGTGGTCCTGTGTTTGCACAGGTCGTGGTGTGACATCTCCCCTGGTCACACTGACCATGGAAGCACCTGCTGCTCTGTAGGAAAAGTGTCCCAGTGACCTGTGGTGCTGCTTGGATAGATTCCTCTCCTGTCCACCACTTCTAGTGCTCCTGCAGCTCTTGCTGTCCTTGTGCCCTGTGCTTCCCAGCAGCTGGGGCCGGCTGGGGGCACTGGGAAGGTTTTCATGCCTGTACAAGGAGAGATTTGGCTTGTGGAGGTTTGCAGAGCATCCATGGCAGGTGGCTGGGGAAAGGGGGGTGAGGAGGGGCACTTTGCAGCATTTAACTGCCCTGCTTGCAGGGCTGGAGGCATTTCTGAATTTTGCCTTTCTGAACTCTGGGTACTCTGTCAGAAAACATTCTTTCCCATCTTGGTAAAGGAAATAGGACCATCCTGCTGGGACTACCTGTGGAGCTTGGTGGCCTGCAAGGAGGTTTGGTGCAGGCCTAGAGAAGGAATGTGACAGTCTCTCGTCTGAAGCTGTATTTTTTGGCTCAGCATGTTTCTCAGGGCAAGGACAGGGCTAATAGTGCTGCTGTGAGTCGAGGTCATTTGTTTTTTTCTGGCCTGTATAGCCAGGCACCAGCTCAGCAGCAGAAGGAAAACCAACAGGCACCTGAGCAGCCACAGGGTAACTGTTTGGTGGGCAGAAAGGACGTGGGATGTTTTGTCATGCATCCAAATTCTCATGTCTTGCTGTGGCTTGCATCATACCTTCCCTGTGAAGCACTGGGGGACTCTGTGGCAGGGTCAGCTGGTGAGGTAGGCAGGTCATGCTGGTCCTGACTGGTGCTCACCAGAGCAAGGCTGGGAGAGACCTGAGCACGTGCTGGCTGAGACTCCTGGTCCCTGTGGTCCCACAGGAGTGCTGCAGGCAGTGTGGTGTGAGGCAGGGGCTGACAGCTCATGGCCATGGACATTTAGCCACAGGAGGTAAGTCAGCTGTAAAAATCAGTGGAAGCTAATTTTTAAAACACCCTTTTATAACCCCCCAGAGAGACTGCAGGGTGCTGAGTGCTGCTGGGAGAGTCCCTCCTCCATCCATTCCCACAGGTCCCAAGGGGCAGAATGCAGCCCTGCCCCAAGACATGCAGGTGCTGAGATGGACTGGCTGGGAGACTGCTCTGATATGCTTTGAGCTCTGCTCTTGTCTTCAGAGGAGCTGATTATGTCCTGGTGCTTTTTTCTGCCTCCCATCACTGGGCTCACCCAAAGTTCATGGGCACTGCAGCACCCACAGGTCAGCTTCTCATCATCACATAGCCCTGCTGTGGCTCCCAGAAATGAGCTCCCTTACACAACTCTGCTGATCCCACCATCTGGGAAAGCCTCAGGGTCATGCTAGAGGACAAAGAAATACAGTTGTACCCAGAATAACTTCTCGTCACCCAAGTAGAGAGAATTTGTTTCCAGCAGGCTCTGGAACCCAGCTCGTAGCCCAGGTGGGCAGCAAGCAGCCAGCTCTGCCTCCTTCCCTTCAGTCTCAGACATGATTGCAGCATGGAAACTGCTGGAAGAAGACCAAGTTGTGCTTTTGTTGCCTTCCCATGTTTACTTGATAGTTTTCCCTACAAAAATTGTTTAATCTGCCTGACCACTTTATGGATTGTTTGCAAGCTTTATTTGAAGTCCTGTGTGCACTAATGTGCTCCTGTGCCAGAAACTTTGTGCCCTTAGGGTGGCTTATTGCGCTCTTTTTTTTTTTTTTTTTATTGGGTCAGTGCATATTGGCAAAGTAAATCAACTACTACAAAAGGAAATTAATTTGCTTCCTGCCTTTACATATTTGGCTCCCATCTTGGGGAGGAGGAAGGAGTTTCAAGGGTCACAAGGAATATAAATAGAATTAAGATGCAGTAAAATACCTATCTGCCTTCAGTCCCTGAGCTTCTTACTGTACAAGGGTCAAAAGTGCCCCCGGATGTCCTGTTCCAGGGGACGAGGTGCTCTGGGCTTGCTGCTGGAGGGACATTTGTCCAGTCAGGGTGATTTGGTGTTCACCCAGTGCTGGGTCACTGGGCAGCTCTGTCTTGGTTGGAGTGGGGAGAGCTGGGCATGTGGCCAGGTTCAGCTGCTGGGGCTGCCAAGGACGTGCCATGAGCTGCTGTCCCCCCTCTCTGCTCGGGGCTGCTCAGGCTGTGTGTCCTTATCATCCCCACACAGCTCGTGGCACTAATCTCCTCTGCAGAGCCATGAGAGGGGGACCTGCAGGTCTGTGTCCCTTCTCCCAGCTCCTGTCCAAACCTGTTCTGCCTGCTCTGAAGGCTCTCTGGTGGAGAAGGACCTGGGAGTGCTGCTTTTGACAATGGCTAGACAGGAGGCAGGTGTGCCCAAGAATGTCAGTGGCACTTGGCTTGTACCAGCAGTAGTGTGTCCAGCAGGACCAGGGCAGTGACTGTCCTCCTTTGCTGGCACTGCTGAGGCCCCACCTCAAATCCTGGGGTCAGTTTTTGGCCCCTCACAACAAGAAGGATGTTGAGTGTATCCAGAGAAGGGAACGGAGCTGGGGAAGGGTCTGGAGC